GTTCGACATTCAACATAACCGCTTAATTGGGCGTCTTCGGCGCCATTTTGATAATCAAATCCTTCAAAACGGTTCATTTCCGCCGGCGGGGAAGTAGCAAACGTGACTGCCGGCACTACAGCCGCACTGGGTGTTGGCGAAGCCTGTCAAGAAGAAAGGAAAATTCTTAGGAAGGCATTATTCCACAAATTGTGTTGATTGAGAGCTTGACATACAGGTGCCGGTCGATCATTTAGATTTTGGCCGTCCACCGTGTCAGGGCTGCAGTTTATGAATTGGGACAGCAGTAGATCAGCTTCATCCATGGTGCTGTCCGAAGCTTTGGGGGGCGACGGGGGGCGGATGGAGCCTTTGCAAGGCAGAAGTGCAAGCTACAAAGTACAATTCAGTCAGGCATACTGCTCAAGGTAAACAATTAAAGAGCGAAAGTACCTGAGAAGATTCATCGAATGGGTTGGTATCAGCACCCAGTTCTTGTGGAACAGATTGGTTACCACTTTGAGGTTTTTCATCTTGCGGATTATTCTCATGGGCCTTGTCAGCGAGGGCAAGTTTCAAATTTTCTTCAGACGGCACTTCTATATCTTGTTTGCCGACAGCTTTGTCAGTATTCTGATCGGGATCTGCTGGGACAACATCTGAGTTACCGTCTATGAGACTAGACGCCAACATATCATAATCGTCTTGATCATGAGATGGCGACAATTGCGCCTGGGGGCCATTGTTTGATGGCTACATCGGATGTATTTCAACCAAATTTACCATGACAAATCAATCAGTGGACCAAGCAAAATATTGGATGGCGTGAGTTGACTTACAAGGTTCATATCAGTTGATCCATCATTCGGCGCTTCACATGATGATTCCATATCTTCATCGAGATTGACACTTTGACGAAAGTTGGAACGCTGAGGAAGTGTGAGTGAGATTATTGAATACTTCATGTCAGTAGAACCGTATAGCTGAGCGCTCGTGTGATCTGCGTTAGATGAAACGTTGGTAGAGAGGGCGGGAGACCAAGAACTCGAATTGAAAATTTCCGAATCAGACTGCTTCAAAGGGAAAAAATTTACTTCGTTCATTCCGCTTTCTTCCGTCGCCTGGGTGACGCCATTTGTGGGTGAAAGTTCTCCCCACAGGAGGTCAAGTGAAGGCCGAGCTGAATCATCTTGACCACCTGGCGAGGCGCGAGATTGAGCATCTTCCACAGTGCTAATGAAGGTATCTTCGGTTTGCGCAACAACGATTGCTTGCCGGGTAATTTCAGCACTGGTAGTGTGGGTGTCTTGGGCACCGGTTAAGTCGACAGCATTATCCACAACGTGGCTGTCAGTTTCTAAAGGTTGCTGCACCACAATTTGAACAGCAGCGGATTGACTGATGGTGATCGCATTGCTATCACAAGCAGTCGACGACTAAGAAAGAATCAACAAGTCAATGAACAGCCCACAAAATCAAGAGATAACCCTATCTGTTACTTACTACAGGAAGTTCGCAAACAGTTCCCTGAGTCTGCTCTTCCATCGCGGAAAGTTGTGGTTCGACGGTACGTGCGATGAAGTTTTCAAACTGCCTTTCGATTGTTGAGAACCGATCTTCAACTTCCCCAGAAGGAGCAACAGTGGGCAGGGTTCCATCCTCATCTTCGTTTAGACTATGCAATCGCGATTGATCGACTCCGAGCTTATGCAATCTCAAATCTTCATCGCCCTCGAACAAGTCATTATCATCTTCGATTTGCTCTTCTTGCGGGGGATTGTCGGTTATGTTCGATGCGGTTTGAACTTCGCGAGGGTCAAATGTAGGCGAGACAGCTTGTGGGGACCCGTCCAGATTAGGGTTGGCATCTTGGTGTTCAATGGTTTCAACAGGCAACAATGGATTTTCCGCGGTAGCTCGATCGGAGCCTTGTTGTGGCTCGGACGATGAGTTGATTGGCAGAAAATGTTCATCTTGGACTAATTCCGACCCAGAAAGATGGAATTCAGGGCGATAGAATGATTGAGGCTGGGATTGGTCAAGTACCATCGAAGGTGAATTTTGAGATTGATCAGAGACAAGAGGATCATGATCGATTATCGGCGAACCATCAACATCACCGGGAGCTTGTGTCTTGTCGACATCTTGCGCGTCTTCGTCTCCTTGATCAGAGTCAAGATCCACCGAACTTTCACTGGACGGCCGGAACATCATTGCACCATCGGCAGAGAAACTTCCCACGCGTGATAGTTTTTTATTCTCGAGCGCAGGCAAGAAAAGAGGCTTGGTGCCGCTAGGTTGATCAAGAATCTTGGAGGAATGATCATCTTTTTGTTTATCCACATCGGTCGATTCCTGTCCCCATAATTATATAAAAAAAGAATAATAAAAGGGATATCAATAAACTAAAATAAATAAAAACAAAACACAACACAATGATTCTGACTGACTGGTCTGCTTTGAGTTCCGGATTTATTCAGACATTCAGGGGCGTTGAAAGAAAAGAAAGGGGCGCAATGGCAAAAATTAGTAACTTAGAGTCAGTTAAAAATAAGTGACTTGAACCAAATGTATTACAACTCACAAATCAGGATGAATATTTTGATCAAGGTCTTGAGTATTCTCTTGAACCAAAGTGAAAGGGGCATCAACCAAAATATCCCCGGCGGGCAGCATTTCGCGAGGATCCCTTGGATTATGGTCTCGATTCTCCTCGGTCTCCAATTCTCCCTCTTCGATCTCCCCGTCTTCCAGTTCTCTCTTCGCCAACCTTGTAGGACCCACCGCCTCTCCATCAACATTCACATCAATATCGGCAACAGCACTGTCAATGTCAAAACCTTCATCTTCGCCATCAACTTCAAGATCTTCATCATCATTATCATCAGCATCTTCCTCGTCATCTTCATCCTGTTCATCTTCTTCTTCAGACTCCTCCATATCATCAAAATCGTCATCTTCATGATGGATATTATTTTCCCTTTCATGAGATGATCCAGCACCTGGAGAGAAGGGTTGCTTGGAAACTGATGGCTTTGACGTTGAAGGACGTGATTGAAAGACAATGCTCGAAGAATCTGAACCAGCGTGAGCTTCCTCCTCTATTTCTTCACGGACTTGCTCTCCAGGAGGCTTGGGTCCAGTTGAGATTTCTAGAGAATCCGATGAAGCAGAGATTGAATGAGAGATGCTTCCATGTATAGAGCCATCGATTGAAACCATATCTTCTGAATCGTGTGAATGATTATCGTTGAGGAATGAGGTACTGGAAGCACTAAGATCTTGAGAAGCGGGATGGCGATCGTTTGGGGAATCTGAGCTTTGATCATCTGATTCTGAGTGGATGTCTTTATCATCCGAATCTGGATCGCCGTCAGAATAGTCGCTTTGGGAAATCTGGCTGGTCTGATTCTGGACAATTTGAGAGCCACGAGGAGAAGATGCTAGGTTGTCATCGTCTGAGTCAATAACAATGTGGGTATCTGTTTTGAGTTTTGGTTGAATGCTATTTTCAACATGGCTGTCACTACTCTCTTCATCAGAAACGGTATCATCGAGACCATCACCCGCAGATTGGTTTTTAGAGCCAGAGGGGCCCGGTCGAGGAGCGAGGTTGGATTGATTAGAAGCTTGGATGGATTCTAACTTGCCAAATACGTCGCTAGAACGTGAGGAATGAGTCTTGGTTTGAGGCTGGGGGGGATCGGTTGAGGAGTTGCCCAAGAGAGCGTTGCGAATCTTGCTAGTAATACTATCGACAAAACCGTCGAGATCGTTAGCAGTAAACGCCTTGAATGGATCGATTGCTGGACGACTGAGACGCGGAGATGGGGTGTTCCGGTTCGAATTAAGGACATGTTGAGGGATCAGAGATAAACCGTTGATCGGATGTGAATGTCTTGGTCTGTATGAGTTTGGGCCACTCATCACGCCTGTCTTTGGCCGATGAGAAAAAAATAAATAAGAGTTTGCGGGTTATATCGATTCAATATATAGGATTCCTTGGGTTGAACTTGAAGTACGCGATTAGAGGAGATGGATTCAGCAGCCTGGAGATCGAGTTTTCAGTCAAATCGCAGGTTATCCGTAAGCTACACGGTGAGTTTCTCTGGGATTCAATTGAGAAGAAATTTCATACGGTGTAAATTGTTTCCCTGTGTTGAAAAGGTGTTTTACTTTGGAATAACCGAGATGTCGGGGATCCTGTCAGAAACTGGCTGGGAGAATGTGTGTATGGTTTTTCCTTTCTTTCCGAGGAAGGGTGTTGATTGTTTGTTTGTTTGTTTGCGGCAGGGTGGTGGGTTCTCTAGTGTTCTTGTTGTCCGTTGGAATTCTAGTTGTTCTTGGCTGGTGGCAGTGGCAGTCGGCTGGGGCGGCAGACTGCTTGTGCCCATTTGGTCGAGCAGCGGACCAGCAAAGAGACAAAAGGGCGCGGCGCGAGGGGGGCAGATGTCTCGCGCCGGTGAAAGGCTTGTTACATACATGCTATATTCTGCCAAGCTAACTTGCAGCAACATAACCCTGGTAAAACAACCACTGCGCCAGGTTAATGCGCTTATATCGCCTCATTTGTCATTAAAGTTAGGACACACATCAGCTTGGAGTGGTACTCGTATATCCGAGCAGTCTTCAATTCTTGAATACGTTCTCAATTGGACACACTACGTCATACGTGCATACTAACGAGGTAGAGTGTAGTTCTACAGCAGCTCAGAAGGCCCGTGAGATTGGGTTGTGATAGATTACGAAGGTTTATATTATTAATTTCAACTAAGTTTAACAAAATTGTTTGATGCTTTCAAGGGTATAGCACTTTGAGAAGTCTTCCTCAAATTTCGAGCTCAAAGAGATCTTATCATCACCATGGCTTAAATAAGCCTCAGAGCGATGGTGGATATCCGTACTGCATAGAACAAAAGCCAACAGCCATCAATCTCCAGAAGATGCTGTAAAATGGTTTGAAGAGGATAGAAGAACTCTTACATTATCATTCTGATATTGTAAACCATCGGGCCGAGCAGGTATCGAATCGATGGCATTTCGGTGATGATCGAATTCACTCCTAGCAACGTCTGCTTAAGGTCTTGGGCCGCACTCTACATGAGGGAAAAAGAAGAAAATGTTAGGGTTCTGGCGCCAAGTGGTAAAAAGAAAAATGACCGACTTTCAAGGCCAAACCGATTTCATTGCTAAAATCGTCCATTTGGTCAACGATATCAGTACGCTCTTTGACATCTCCAAGGAACCGTAACATGTCGGCATGTTTCTGCCATTCGGTAAGTTGGAAGACTGTATCATCTCCGAGCTGCGCGGGTGTTCCAAGCTGACCGTTTTGCTTCAAAGAGGTGATCGAAGAATCTGAAACGGGGAAAACAGAAGGAACAAAGGTTAAATAAAAGTCCCGCCATGGTGTTTGTAATAACATAAAATGGCGTACAGACTGCGGCCGTATCCGAGCGTAAGACACTTGCCGCGTTTGATAGCGATTCGGCGAGGTCCGAGTTTGCGCTTTTGACCGGCATGAAGATTATCCTGGGGTTTGACAAGCTTTTTCGGCTAAGTCGGTTTACTTGCTTATTCATCGCGGATCGCTTCGCGGCGGAGTAGCTCATCGGTGAACTGTACTGGTGAGCGGCCTCCATTGGAACGTGACGCGATGTCGGATATTTGCTGGGTGCCCCCAAAACAACGCCGACGGAGACCATGGCCAAGGTGATTAGGTTCGAGAGGGTAATGTGAACCATTTTTCTCTGTTTTGTTCTTGTTTTTGTTTTCGGTCGATTGCAAGAAAAATTAAATTGGTATAACGAATTATTAGAGGTTGGGGTACGAAAGGTGATGTTACTGTTGAAGGGTATTGAGTTGAACGAAAGTGTGGGACGGATGAATTTGGTGATGAAGACTGTTACAGATTAATGTGATAGAGAACTCTTGGGTTGGATCGAACTGATTATGCTTCCTGATTGAGAGATGGCTTCTCGTCTGGAAGGGAAGAGTGTGGGTGTTTTATAGTGGTAATGGTCGAGGCTAATCCGGAATGCCGCCCCTAATACCAAGGCCCCCACGATAAGGCACCAGAGGCTTCAAGGGACAACTCCAGTGTTGACCGACTGGTTTTTGGTTCATGAGTTTTCATACTGCCGATTGGAGACTGCTATCAAGCACTGTTCAATGCCTCCTATTTCCAGCTTTGACTCGACGATTTCTGTAAGGCCAGCTGGCCCTGGTTACCAAAGTCATGACTCATGGCTATCATCTGGGCGACTAACCACAAGATGCAATCATGCAGTTTTACCGCATGATTCGCTAGTGGACAAACATGCAGCGAGCGCTAACTGCAGTGGTTTGATGATCCACATACATCAAATTCCGTCGACCAGGTCGAACGCAGCTGATGGATCATGGCTCATCACGAGCTCCTGGAGAATCATTATGTTCTGTTCTGTTACCACTCGAACTCTGTCAAGAGTGGTACTATCTCTGGAACAATTGACATTACACGCTGAACAGGCGTTTGTTGGCGTGGTGGCCCTGGAATCTAGTTTTCGATGGCAAAGAATTCTATTGAATTTCCTTCAATTCCCGTTGCTGAGTTCTTCGGTTAGCACTTTATAAGGCCTTTCGAATACTGTTACATGATAATTCTGTTGTACATATTCAAATCCATCCTGCTTGATTTTAGGATTGTATATCTGATTTGCTTGAGCATAAGAGTGTGGAACAAGGATGGAAAATGAAGTCTTATAAAAAAGATAAGAGATTTGATTCCCTTAACACTTTGAGAGAGTGTCGCTCTTTCCTCTATTCTTGATTTGGCAAGACTCTTGAACCGTTTTTGATGGTGGCCTAAAGTGAATCCATAAAAAGCTGCCAAGTAATCCGCTACTCAGGAAAATCAGGCCTGTGAACCATATCAAGCCAGAGAATGGACCTTTGGGAAAGCCGTTGCATTGGGTTAGATCTGTCAGAGTTGAAGAAACAAGTTCTGAAGAAATTGTCCCTCCCAGGATGAAGCCTATTCCTCGAGTCATGGCGAGAATTCCGTAGGCACAAAACATCAGCTCTCGGTCCGCTGTCAGAAATATCATCCATGATGATAAATCAAGGGATGAAAATTCAAAGGAAATTTTAGTGTGTGAGCCCTATGGTCATCATTTCCAAGTACCAGGAAAAGCTACCAACAGACAAAATGTTTCAAAACCCCGAAATATAAGCTTGTCCATGCACCAGCCGTAGAACCATAGACAGCCGAGAAGACAAATAGCCATCCAACCCCATTTTGACTCAGAGCACCCCACAAGGTGAGTACACTTGCACCCCCTAGAACATTAGCTGTGAGGCCAATCAGAAAGGGTGAATAGTGGTCTGATAGGACACCAGCTGCGAGTTGCGCAAATATTGTTCCAGCTGAGATTCATGGTGATCAAGTTCAACTCTAATTTGGCAATATACTTCACACTGAGATATCATATCTTACCATTGAGAATAGACAGAAGAGCACTTCCCGTCACGCTTCCACGCCCGAGACAATGGATATAGGCTACAACAAGCAATTTTTTTCGTCAATATTACCACCCATAAAATGCGTTCAACTTGTATTTTGCTTTCAGGATTAATAGTTGCTTAGCAGACTTACTTGGAAGATACAATCCTGGTAAGTAAAACGCGGTTGATTGAATTGTGTTCATGAATATATAAGTCCAAAATACACCAGTCAAACACTGATAAAACTTGAGGAACAAGTTTCCTGAACTAGGGAGGACCTGCTTTTCGTGACTGGAAATAGATTGGGTCGCGCTTTCTTGCCGCTGGCAACGATCCGGAGGTCTCGGGTGGATGAGGAAGATTGCGAAGAAAATGGGAACTGCAAACAATGCCGCCTGGGAACAATGATTGGGATGAGTAAGACTTCTGAAAATTCATCGCTTAAAGTACGAGTAATCGCTCACGGTAATCTGCAAGGCTAATTTTGCGCCATACCTCCCAAGAAGGCTGTTTAGGACCAGAGGGAATACCAAACCTCCGATACCCGTCCCTGTGACAATATCGGAGGGTGAGCAGCTAGTCCCAAGATTTCTAAATGGCGGAATCCATGCAAGGACATACCCGTGAAAACCAATCCGTTTGCAAACCCTTGCCTTAATTCGAACCATTCCGGAAGATGAGAAAGCTGAATGATGGATCGATACTTTTTAAAGTTGATGCGTCGGGCATGGATTTTAGAATTCTAATGGAAGCTCACGGCTGGATAATATAACGCGCACCCGCCAATGCCGTATCCTATCCCTTGACTCAAGAGAATATGAAGGGCCTGTTGGAAAAACAAGATTCGGATAGGGTTGACTAAATACTTGAAAAAACAGTTTATCTCACAGAAGTTGAATAAGCAGACAAGAATAAGCTCAGTGTGCATGTTAGCAGACCCGCCAGCATCAATCGCCGCCTTATGCCTGGTTTCTTGGCCATCCAAAAAGAGAAGAATGGCGCTGAAGGAAGATGGGGTTGAACATGAATTACTGATGAGTGTAAATCCCAAGTCTCTCGGACAAGAGCCCGAGACAGCTTACCTGCACTAGCAATCGTACCGGTGTTGATTGTTCCAACAAGAGTGAGTATGAGTTTAGAATTCGGCTCCGGCTTTATTGGGCTGCGTGGATCATATTGATAAAAGTTGAATAACACGCCAAACGAGGTAGCAAATCCCTGAAAATACATATCCACAATAACATGTTATCCAACCCTGCTCGGCACTTTTCTCTCATTGAGACAAATGAGTACGACGTGTCGCTTACCCATACAATTGTTTCAATAGTGAACATAGCCAACAGATATAGGAAAGCGCACTTCCCCTTATCTACAGGAGAGTCATGGCTGCTAATGGCTGTTTCTAAAGTATCATCTGCCTTGATTTCGTTCAGGTTCGGTGACTTGGTTTCAGCAGCATGCCACATTTTGATAGGTGATCTCTAGTCGTGATTCAATTCAGCGACTACGGCTTTACAAATTGCGTAGAATGATCTATTTGTCTACCAATTGCGACTAGTTCTTTTCCTCAGTACAGGCCTAATTGCGGGATCGAAGTCGGCGGAGTGAGCCAATAGCCCTCGCGTCCTGCTCCCATCCCCTGATTATGTATCCTTATTGCGACTGGCCGGGGGTGGGTAAGGTTTATGGATGCACCGGTTGCATCGGAAGACTAGTAGTACTGCGGTACAAGGGGCGAAGCCAAGCCTCATCTCCTGTTCGACTAGGTTTGGCCACATCAACTCTTAGGCTCCAGAAGTGTCAGCAGGATAGGGGAGGGCCGAGGAGATACAGTGTCTCGTCCTCTTCCACGGCCACCCGAAGGAATTCACCACCAGATTTTTTTTTTCTCCTTTTGCAGCTTTCCTGAAATCTTATCCATCCCACACGTCCAGAAATATGCCGATTATCCGTGGAAGCGTGACAACACGACGGGTGCGACTTGAGAGACGCATCGGGTCGGCCAGCCGGCCTGGCCCTAAAACACTAACTCCGAAACTTGAAAGCGCAACAACCTGAGTGCCTAGGAGTCGGACAACCGATCTGCCTCAGGTCATCCAAGAATGAGTTTGCAAAGCTGACCGATGGCACTTGATGATGATAGCGGCCTCTCTGACAAGCCAAGTGAAATAGCTTGATTGTCTGCCTTTCAAGGGACAGGCTAGGACCGGCCTTTCTACTGTTTAGTGAAATTCTTCACTTATCTTGGTAGATCTTGGCAGATAGAGGATAGTTGTGGAACAAATCTCCAAGGCCTTTGAACATTACTCTCTTACATCTCAAAATAAAACTTAACAAAATCTCTTCCTTTATAGGGGAACTTAAACGTAATTATTAGGTATGATCTATCTGATCTTGGGTATAAATGCTTTTTTTAAAAGCTTAATATCATGTGTTGTATCATTATCATTAGCCACTAACGAAAAGCAGTTTGTTCTCTTATTTCCTTTGTTTCTTCACTTGAACCTTCTCAACCCAATTGAAATACTTCCCACCAAGTTCATGCCTTTGTAAATGTTCTGATTTTTTTTTTAAAAACTTTGACAGAATGGCAGTGGTATTTACAAAAATTGCGTACTGTTATTGTTGATAGTGGAGTGTAGCACAAAACAAGAAAACTGAAACTAAACACTTCTACATTAGACTTTATTGGTATTACACTGACCCAATGGCTGTGAAAGAAAAAAGGATTCTATACTTCTTTACACCTCTACCAGGTTTTGGCACTAAAGGCAAGTTGATATAAAAAATGTAGCAATACTCCAATCCCACTCACACTAAAGTTTTCAATGAACTCAATGGGAATTACTAAACTACTACTTTTTGGAATCCACAGCAGCCCATTTATGGGATGAAGGCCTTGATGCCCTAGCTGGTGAGATTTTTTTTCTCTTGTGAATTGTCTTGCAGCACCCCTGGGTGATTGGCCAATTAGTATTACCAACAGCAATTTTACCTAATTGTGTTTAACAGAAAACAGGATGGACTGAATGTGATAAACATGAATTTTTGTGAAACTGAATATGTGGGTTCATTTCAGTGAGTAAGAGAATTCCAGATCACCTTTACATAGAACTACATACAGGATGTATGGATCTAGTTCTTTGGTTGAAGCATACACTAGCTGTGAGCATCTCAACACTCTCTAGAGATACCAGTCACTTTTACTATATTTGAATCTTTAAAGAATCACTTCACAAGAAAGTCTTACAGATGAATTGTTGCAATGAGACTCAGTATTGATATTCAATCAATTACACAAAAATCACTTGGTTTCAACTGGAAAAAAGGTCCTGCATAGATTATATGAGATAATGAGCCCTCACTTCAGTTTCAAAGGGGTCCTCATGACTTCAGTTTCAAACTTAGATTCCTTGGAGTAGATATGACAGAAAAAGTGACACATCTCTAGTTTCTGGCAAATCATTATGTTCTTAATTTGGTGATGTCAGAAATTTTTTGAGAAACCCCTATTTTTATACCCAAACTGGAACATTTGACTAATTGATTGATCTGCTCATCAAATTTGGTTTGAGTTGCATGAATTGTACTAGTGTTATAGCCACCAGTTCTCAATGAGTAATAAAACTTGAGTTCTATTCAATTTCATCCAAATATTGTCAGTTCTTCTTTTTACATTTCAGTGTGTCTTGAAAATACTGATACATGATGGTTTGACTTCTGATGTACAAAAATATATACATTCATCTTGTGTGATAATTTGAAGAGCTGACATGTTTAACCCAGCTTGTAAAAAAATTGAATTCAAAAACCGACGTGCATTTGTTACCAGAGAGAGGAATGTGACCCAACAAGTAGATCATTCCAGACAACCATCATGATTCAAGGGGATTTTTTATTCAAGACTTTGAAGAATTGTCACACATTTCTCTGTTTTCATTTTTGCAAGGGTCTTGAGTTCCTTTGGATGCTTTCCTGAAGTGAAGCCACAAAAAGCTGCCAAGTAATCCGCTACTTAGGAAAACAATACCTATGAACCATATCAATCCAGAGAATGATCCCTTGGGAAAACCACTACATTGGTGTGGATCTACCAAGTTTGAAGAAACAAGGGCCGAGGAAATCAGCCCTCCCAGGATGTTTCCTATTCCTCGAGTCATGGATAGAATTCCGTAAGCGGAAAATAGTAACTCCCGATCCGCTTTCAACAGTAAAATTGTGCATTATGATAGAGAGATTAAAAGTTAGAAGGAATTGTTGATTGGTGTCAGTGATCTTGAAATGCTGATCATTTTTTATAGCGCAAGGAGATGTCACATACAGACAAAGTGCTTTAAAACCCGGAAATATAAGCTTGTCCATGCACCGGCGGTAGAACCATAGACAGCCGCAAAGACAAACAGCCACACAATGCCGCTGTGGCTCAGAGCACCCCACAAGATGAGAACACTTGCGGCCCCTAGAAGATTGGCTGTGAGCCCAATGAGGAAGGGTGAATAGTGGTCTGATAGGGCACCAGCTGCGAGCTGCGCAAATATTGTTCCAGCTGGGATATATGGACTGTGGTCAATTATTTACCAGAATGCTTTATAGTTGTCAATTCTTACAATTTAGAATAGCCAGCAGAGCACTTCCTGCCACGCTTCTACGACCAAGGCAATGAATATAGGCTATAATAGACAAAAATGTCGTTGTTACCACCAAAAACACGTAAGCTTGGAAGTTAGATTTTGCGTTTAGGATCAAAATTTGACCAAAGCACTTACTTGGAAGATATAAGCCTGGTAGGTAGAAGGCAGTTGATTGAACTGTGTTTAAGAGTATATAAGTACAAAATATTCCGGTTAAACACTGATAAAAATTGTGGAACAAGTTCTCCGAACTTGGCACGGCTTGCTTTTCACAACTGGAAACCGATTGGGTCAAGCTGTCCTGGCGCTGCCGGCAATGTGGAATTCTCGGGCGTATGAACAGAACCGCCAAGAAAATGGGAATTGCAAACAGCACCGTCTGGTTGGGCCAATTGGAATCAGTTTCTCCTCTATGAGTGACTTCCTCCTCACAAAATTAGCCGCTCACGGTAATCTGCAAGGCTAATTTGGCACCATACTTCCCTAGGAGACTGTTTAAGATCAAAGGGAAGATCAGACCTCCCAAGCCGGTCCCTGTGACCATATCAAACGGTCAGCTGAGTAGAGTGGTTTTAAGGGGCGACGTGCCTCTGAGTACATACCGGTGAAAACGAATCCGTTTGCAAACCCTTGTCGCAGGTCGAACCATTCCGGAAGATGAGAAAGCTGGATAACAGATCAATATGTACTTTATCAGGGGATGCATCGGTCTCCGGAGATAGATTCTAATATTCCAGCGGTACTGTAGCTCACGGCCGAATAATATAACGCGCACCCGCCAATGCCGTATCCTATCCCTTGAGTCAAGAGAATATGAAAGGCCTGTTGAGAACCGATTCAGCCAAGGCTGACTCAATGCTTCAGAGAAATCGACCCTCTTACAGAAGTAGAATAGGCAGACAAGAATAAGCTCAGTGTGCATGTAAGCAGACCCGAAAACATCAATCGACGCCTTATGCCTGGTTTCTTGGCCATCCAAAACGAGAATAGTGGTGCTGGAGGAAGATAGGATTGTGGATTATTTATTGATAAGTGTGGATTTGAAGTCTATGGGACCAGAGGCCGTTACAGCTCACCTGCACCGGCAATGGTACCAGTGTTAATCGTTCCCACAAGAGTGAGTATTAGTTTGGCATGTGGATCTGGTTTTATTGGGCTACGTGGATCATGTTGGTAAAAATTGAACAACACGCCAAACGAGGTAGCAAATCCCTGAAATTCATGTACTGAAATGTTACCGAACTTGGCCTTGGCTCTTTTCTCGCATTAAGACTGATAATTCCAACCTATTGCTTACCCATACAATCGTCTCAATAGTGAACATAGCCATCAAATATTGAACAGCGCACTTTCCCTTATCGACTGGAGGACCATGATTCGCAACAGCTGTTTCCAAAGTATCACCCGCCTTGGTTCCGTTGAGCTTCGATGATTTCGATTGATGTCGTTCAGCAGAATGCCACATTCTAATCAAGGGAGCTCTATTGAACGACTGGGGTTTTACAACTTCTTAATGTTTATTCTTCTAATGGATGTGTGAGAATGGCAGTAGCTAATTTCCTTAGTGTAATTCTTGAAGGGGGGAGGTCATAGTCGGCGGTACGAGTCAATAGATCGCGTCGTACTCACATCGCCCGATTATGTACCCTTCTTCGGCTAGGTGAAACTGGGGAGCATTGGAGTCCTTGGCGCTTGTTGACCACCATAATTTGTCACCATACCCTGCCACAATGGTGAACATGTGCATCTACCTAGACAGAACGTAGGAGCTAGAGAGTCTTTGAGACTTCTTGCCGATCACGGCGCACGCGCAGACCCCAGTAATGAAACTTGTCTCTGTTCGACTGCTGGTTGTTCAAGCCAAAAAAAAAGCTAATCAAACAATTAGATCGAAATATGACGAACTGGCCCCTCACCAATTGCAACACTAATAAACCAAACACAGGATAGTCTATACTTCGGCACTTCTCTCATGTAATTTAGTGGGCCACAGTGTTCATCTGAGCATTTTTGACAACGTGTTTCGTCAACGGCATTGGAGCTATGTAGCGCCACCGGAAGACTTGACGCAATTTCATCTCCTTGCAAGGGTAATTTGGCTACAAATTATAATCTAATGGATAAGGGATGCCGGATGGTACATAAATGGTCGTTCTCAAACGATGAAAATGAAGATCGTCAGTTTGCGCTCGTTCCATTGGTGCAGATTAATCGCATTTGATTTGCCGAAGTCGATGGCATTTAGTGACACCAAAGTGCTTGTTTACAGTCTCCACAGAATTCGTTTGACTTTGGAAAAACCGAAACATCACTATTGAGCTGTACAATTCTGCCTTCAATCACAATGATCAGGCGAGGAATGCTGGTTAGAATCACTAGGCGCTTGGACCGGCATCAGTTAGGTTCGTCGAGCATGAGATAAGAATGTTGAATTCAAGGAGTAGGCTTGTGTACTGAATCAACCTGAAATTTAAAACTCCGCAATTTGTGGCTTCATGGCCTCATGTGGAGGTGGCCGATGATGATTCCCTAGCGCATGCTATCTCCTTCCATGACAACCCCGCTTGATGTAGGACTGAGATATCTTCACTCCTCTTGAAAACCTCTCTCCTGTGAAACACTCTTAAAAATCACTCAAGGAAAAACGTCTTCCCGTGGATATGCCTTGTATCATGTAAGAAGTCGCAGAGGTAATGAAGGGTGGTGTATGTATAAGGTCTCATTTTTTTAAACATGGAACGCAGGCCCATCCCATACCTTGGCTAACTGATCCGGACACCGGCAGAGCCGATTGCGGTTGCTGTTCTTTGACTCTCAGCTCAAAGTCCGTGCCACTTGGGGGACGGGGCAGGTGGGGAGATGTGAACGATAAAAGCTCGATTGTATACTCATCAGAAGAGAGCAGTATGATGAGTCTCGACCCTCGTTATCACAGAGACTCCTGGAGAATTATTGCAGTTCCAGGGCTTGCACCAAAACATTGTCCACATCACACCAGACCTGATTATCCTCCAGGCTGGTAGAACTCCATGATACATTCTTTGCTGATGCCGATGGATACCGATGAGTACCTTCAAGTACTCTCGATATTCGGAGACATGAAAGCAGAGCTCACAGCCATAACTCATCTGATTAACTGCTGTTAATGAACCTTGATAGTTCCGATCTAGGGAACACAAGTTAAAAGCGCAGAACATGGTCCGCAACCGCCTACAATAATATGACAGTTTCGGCTATGTATGCTTAAATGCATCTATGGGGAAGATGTTTCACACTGCGTGGATCTATGTATAATCCACTGATCATTTCGATCATGGCTTGCGTTTCTCCACCGGCCGTTACTAAGAACCATGTTTATGACAGTTTGTTTCTCCTTCCAAACCTCAGGACTTTGTAGGAGGCTCTGCTAAATTGTAGCTACATGTGGCACATTGACTTTAGCGACATGTGGCACATTTAGTGAGAAATTTGTTGATTCTAACAAATAAAGGATTTTTACAGATGAACAGCCATTTGTAGAGAATGATAATCAAGTATCATACAGGCTTAAATACTATCATGCCCCTGTAAGGTTGCGGATTGAGAGAAATGTGAGAATATAGTACAGAACATATTTATTCCCCACATCCCTGAGCTTGTTCCAGACTGATGGGGACTTTGAAGTGCTTTGGCACATCAAATCATGTCACAACAGCACTAATCCCACCTGTCTGCCATGTTCAAAAAAACACAACAGAAACCTCTTGGTTTGTGAATGAATTCACTGAGAACTCATTCATGCAAACTGAAATATGCTCCTGAGGCAAACTTCTGAATGGCAATCCCCCAGTTTCTCTTTGTCTTTGTAACGCGCCTGTGTTTAGGAGATTCATCAAGTAAGTGCCCCTCCATGGTCTCCACTGCCAGCCAACTAGCCAGGCCAATCAGGTCCAACACGCACAGGCTCGTACAATTTCAAAGACACAGCGCTCTGACCAGCCTTGATGATCTCCCAGATAGATAAGAGTCACAGTACTTCTTATCCTTGTCTTGCACCCCAAGCTCTGACATAAGATATATCTCCAAGCCCTAAAATTTGTCTGTGTGTGTTTGCATTCAAGACACATGCATGGACAGTACAAGCAAGTTCAATCTTGGTGCTCTAGGTGGGAAAGAAAAATAAGCTTCATTTACTCTTTTGTTTGTACAAAATGCCTCATAGATAAAAGAAATAGACTGGAAATGTGTTAATTTAGCTAACAACAGAAGATAATAAAATGTCTCCAACATTCCAAAATGCAATCACCTTGCACATTAGAATGTGAATGTAGAAAAATATACATCTTTGGCCCACTGCCAGAATAATTGGCTAGTTGGAGACAATGATGGGCTGCTACACTAAACAGCCACCTAGAAACAATGGGCCAGCTTCACTGACATTAGCATCAGGGCAGTGTAACATGTAAAATTGAGTGTGTGCGTAATTCCACCACAACTGGACTAACACTATGCATGTGGGCCACAAAAAAGGTCCGCTGTGCTGCACCACAGTGAATTTTAGCTAACTCAACAAAGTCCCCCATGGTGGAAGGATCTCTGGTGCAAAGCACTGGCTGGTGGCAAAGTCACCCCTCCCACAGGGAGGGACTTTCAACATAAGTTCCGCTGCTTGTATGAGGGGGAATGATAACTGAACGCCCTCCGCCATTGCGCACGCACACCCAGACACCAAAAAGGATATGATGTGTGGGTGTGGACACCATTTTTTCTGGCATGCATGCCCAAACGCCAGCTTTGCAGGCATGTACCACTGTGTAGGACATTAGCCAGCTTCCTACACAGAGGTTTGTAGATCATCTTCTTTGGGAGGGATTCCTCCCAACAAGATGGTGCACATCTCAGCTGGATTCCTCCCAATGAGCTGGTGTAGATCCCAGCTCACCAGGACAGGTCTCTCCTGGACAGCTGGGACTGGGTTGTACACCCTGTACACCAGCTCATTGGAAAGGATTCCTACTGAACATCTTCTTGGGAGAAATCCCTCCCAACAAGAGGGTCTAAAACCCAGCTTGTTGGTAGGGATCTCTCCCGGTGATCTGGGTGGAATCCTTCCAACAATCTGAGATGGACACCATCTTGTTGGGAGGAATCCCTCCCGGCAAGGTGGG